GTTGTATCGAAATAGCTGTCTCGGACTTTGTTTCATTAAAATATTCTGAGTCACGATTTTCTTGAAAGGGAAAGGGGGCAAAGTCGTCAGTGCAGAGTTGCGTCCCTTGGGTCTATGATCGTAGGTTCGAATCCCGGTTCGCACCGATTATGTTTCTAGGTTTGTCAGCACCATACCCGTGCTCGTGGGTTTCACCGAAGTGGTAAACGTCTGAGACCTGCATCACTTCGGGCTTCCCTCCCACATTAAGCTGACACGCGAGATGCAACTGGAATACTGTTCAAAGCGGCGTTAAACCTCACGAATACACTCGGAAGGAAAAGTTTACCATCTTAGCTGCACTTAATGTTTATGGTGTGCAAAGAAGATTGGAGAAAGACAACGTCAATCAAATAACATTTCGAAAGTTTATTATGATTATTTGACACACATTTAAGACATGAGATGTTAAACTGTTAAACGACAAATTTTCTGTTTTTGAACGAACAACATGGCAACCAGGAAATGGACAGAAAGCACAGGGACGTTGAGGAAGATATGAAAACAGCAAGCGAGAGATGATGATTATCATAAACAGCAACAGCAACAACAATAATAATACTAATACTAATGAAAAACAATCAATGGTATACAATGGTAATGAACGACTTCCATCCATTTTGTATTTTCTTTCATGATCAAATATAAATATAATTCAAATCCAAATTCAATTCCATAATTATTGAATAAAAATCTCTTTCATAAACCACAATAGCCACATATTTCTTGAAAATGATTTACTGCCTTGTGCGCCGTGTGTCATAGATGTATTGATGGATACGCCCTAATTCGTTCACACATTGTAGTGGAAAAAACAGGCATTGATGCTGCATAGCGTCGTATAGGCACGTTAGCTGACGCAAGTTGTAGAAACTGTTCATGACAAAATACGCCCCTTCCTGGTCAGAGATTAGTAATTTTGTAAATATTTCCTCAGAAAATACTTCCAACAGAAAATATGGGAACGATACATTTGACCCTAATTTTATTTCATGTTTTTTTCAGCGAGCCTCAGAGACGAATTGGACATTCAGAACTGATTACGCCATCCTTGATGACGCATCTTCATCCACCTTGCTCAGGACAGGAGATGTTGATTCTGATCCGTTTTAACACGTATTACTAACACATGTTTCTTGATTTTTACGGGTTCTTTTTAATTCAAAGCGTCCTAGCAACACATTCAATATCAACAGTTCTCTAATTCTCGCATTCGTGAAGAGTTTTCACCGAAATATGGCCAAACACCAGGCTCCAGACGAGAGGTGTTTGTACAGGATGTCTGACAATATGTACAGTGATAACTCGTTAACTCGAATCCCATTTGGTTGTCTCAGGAATTTTCCAGTGTGCAGTGGTTAAAGGTTAACGTCAAACACTGTCCCTATAGATCAAATTTTATGTACAGTGATAACTCGTTAACTCGAATCACATTAGACTGCCTCAATAATTTCCCAGTGTGCAGTGGTTAAGGGTTAAGGTCAAAAACTGTCCTTATAGATCAAATGTTATGTACAGTGATAACTCGTTAACTCGAATCACATTAGACTGCCTCAATAATTTCCCAGTGTGCAGTGGTTAAAGGTTAACGTCAAAAACTGTCCTTATAGATCAAGTTTACAAAGTTAGTAAAGTAAATTCCTCAAAAGGACACTATTATGATTTGTATAAAGATACCCTCTCAATAGAAGACTATTTATTGTATTTATCTCATAACTTACACATTTACTAAAATCAGAACCACCAACCACCGACTCCTAATTGAAGCCGGTAGATCGTATAACCTCAATAGGGAAGATAGACTTTGCTCTCCATAAAATTAAAATTGGTGATGGGTTTCATTTTATACTCGAATGCCATGAATTGGACAATTTAAGAAATTAATATCTCCCATTATATTGTTGTAAATATCCAAATACTGATAAACCTGTTTCACTTATGACTTGTTCTTATAAACCTCTCCTCTTACGACTAGGCCAGTATGTAGAATGTGGAGCGCGTATGCTCCACTAACTGTTGTCTCATTTCTTTGTATATTTGTCTCGCTTGTCAACTTCTTCATGTCACCACGGTGATTCATGAGAAAATATTTTTTCTTCTTCTTTTTTTCTTCGTTAACTCAAATTCCCTTTAACTCGATTAATCTTTGAAGATAACATAACTGAAGATAACTGTTATGGCCACGGCAGAATACATATCGGTACTTTGGTCTAATTCGGCAACCGCTTATCTCGAACTAGGGATAGCACGACATAATGTCTTTAGTTCCCAAAGTAGTGAAGTCACGAGTTTCCATCGTACACGTAACGGACGTGTTGTAAGCTATCAGAATAAATACGAACTATCCGGTCTGTAATCCGCCCCTTATTTTCTGTTTGGAATACAATTGACGCATATCTAAATCGCAGGCTCTCTATATTTTCTTTAGAAATATAAAATAAATAGTAGACAAACGCCAATATTCTTTATTACACTTGTATATATGTTATCCTGCTACGCAACCAACTCACGACTAATAGTCAAGAACGTTCAGGTATCACACACGATCACACAACAGAAGCATATATATATATATTGGTCCCAAAATTTTTAATTATGTTGTCTATATATATATATATATATATATATATATATATATATATATATATATATATATATACATTGGTCCAAAGAAGTTTAATTATGTTTTCTATATATATAATAAGGGCAAGTCTTTTCCCTCATTGGCATTGATATCTCAGTATTTGCTGGGCCTACATCACACTAAACAATACTGCCTCATTGTATGTCACCACAACAACACTATACATTTACAGCGATACATTACCTACATGCATTGGGTAGACTCAACAGCAAAACCTGATATTGTTCCGCACAGAGCGTGCCTGCTGCACACCTACCTATATCCCGATCTCTACATGATACAGCACTCTGTCTAAACCGATCTCTACATAATCCAACACTCTGTCTAAACCGATCTCTACATGATCCGGCAGTCTGTCTAAACCAATCTCTACATAATCCAACACTCTGTCTAAACCGATCTCTACATGATCCGGCAGTCTGTCTAAACCAATCTCTACATAATCCAACGCTCTGTCTAAACCGATCTCTACATGATCCGGCAGTCTGTCTAAACCAATCTCTACATAATCCAACACTCTGTCTAAACCGATCTCTACATGATCCGGCACTCTGTCTAACCCGATCTGTGATGATCCGGCACTCTGTCTAAACCGATCTCTACATGATCCGGCAGTCTGTCTAAACCAATCTCTACATAATCCAACACTCTGTCTAAAACGATCTCTACATGATCCGGCGCTCTGTCTAAACCGATCTCTTCATGATCCGGCACTCTGTCTAACCCGATCTGTGATGATCCGGCACTCTGTCTAAACCGATCTCTACATGATCCGGCACTCTGTCTAAACCGATCTCTACATGATCCGGCACTCTGTCTAAACCGATCTGGGATGATATGGCACTCTGTCTAAACCGATCACTACATGATCCGGCACTCTGTCTAAACCGATCTCTACATGATCCGGCACTCTGTCTAAACCGATCTGTGTATTATCCGGCAGTCTGTCTAAATCGATCTCTACATGATCCGAAACTCTGTCTAAACCGATCTCTACATGACCCGGCACTCTGTCTAAATCGATCTCTACATGATCCGGCACTCTGTCTAAACCGATCTCTACATGATCCGGCACTCTGTCTAAACCGATCTCTACATGAACCGGCACTCTGTCTAAACCGATCTCTACATGATCCAGCACTCTGTCTAAACCGATCTCTACATGATCCAGCACTCTGTCTTAACCGATCTTTACATGATCCGACACTCGGTCTTAACCGATCTCTTCATGATCCGGCACTCTGTCTTAATCTATCTGTGTATTATCCGGCAGTCTGTCTAAACCGATCTCTACATGATCCGGCACTCTGTCTAAACTGATCTCTACATGATCCGGCACTCTGTCTAAACCGATCTCTACATGATCCGGCACTCTGTCTAAACCGATCTCTACATGATCCGGCACTCTGTCTAAACCGATCTCTACATGATCCGGCAGTCTGTCTAAACCGATCTCTACATGATCCGGCACTCTGTCTAAACCGATCTCTACATGATCCGGCAGTCTGTCTAAACCAATCTCTACATAATCCAACACTCTGTCTAAACCGATCTCTACATGATCCGGCGCTCTGTCTAAACCGATCTCTTCATGATCCGGCACTCTGTCTAACCCGATCTGTGATGATCCGGCACTCTGTCTAAACCGATCTCTACATGATCCGGCACTCTGTCTAAACCGATCTCTACATGATCCGGCACTCTGTCTAAACCGATCTCTACATGATGCGGCACTCTGTCTAAACCGATCTCTACATGATCCGGCACTCTGTCTTAACCGATCTCTTCATGATCCGGCACTCTGTCTAAACCGATCTCTACATGATCCGGCACTCTGTCTAAACCGATCTGTGTATTATCCAGCAGTCTGTCTAAATCGATCTCTACATGATCCGAAACTCTGTCTAAACCGATCTCTACATGACCCGGCACTCTGTCTAAATCGATCTCTACATGATCCGGCACTCTGTCTAAACCGATCTCTACATGATCCGGCACTCTGTCTAAACCGATCTCTACATGATCCGGCACTCTGTCTAAACCGATCTCTACATGATCCAGCACTCTGTCTTAACCGATCTCTACATGATCCGGCACTCTGTCTAAACCGATCTATGTATTATCCGGCAGTCTGTCTAAACCGATCTCTACATGATCCAGCACTCTGTCTTAACCGATCTTTACATGATCCGACACTCGGTCTTAACCGATCTCTTCATGATCCGGCACTCTGTCTTAATCTATCTGTGTATTATCCGGCAGTCTGTCTAAACCGATCTCTACATGATCCGGCACTCTGTCTAAACTGATCTCTACATGATCCGAAACTCTGTCTAAACCGATCTCTACATGACCCGGCACTCTGTCTAAATCGATCTCTACATGATCCGGCACTCTGTCTAAACCGATCTCTACATGATCCGGCACTCTGTCTAAACCGATCTCTACATGATCCGGCACTCTGTCTAAACCGATCTCTACATGATCCAGCACTCTGTCTAAACCGATCTCTACATGATCCGGCACTCTGTCTAAACCGATCTATGTATTATCCGGCAGTCTGTCTAAACCGATCTCTACATGATCCAGCACTCTGTCTTAACCGATCTTTACATGATCCGACACTCGGTCTTAACCGATCTCTTCATGATCCGGCACTCTGTCTTAATCTATCTGTGTATTATCCGGCAGTCTGTCTAAACCGATCTCTACATGATCCGGCACTCTGTCTAAACTGATCTCTACATGATCCGGCACTCTGTCTAAACCGATCTCTACATGATCCGGCACTCTGTCTAAACCGATCTCTACATGATCCGGCACTCTGTCTAAACCGATCTCTACATGATCCGGCACTCTGTCTAAACCGATCTCTACATGATCCGGCACTCTGTCTAAACCGATCTCTACATGATCCGGCACTCTGTCTAAACCGATCTCTACATGATCCGGCACTCTGTCTAAACCGATCTGTGTATTATCAAGGGGTCTGTCTAAACCGATCTCTACATGATCCGGCACTCTGTCTAAACCGATCTCTACATGATCCGGCACTCTGTCCAAACCGATCTCTACATGATCCGGCACTCTGTCTAAACCGATCTCTGTATTATCCGGCAGTCTGTCTAAACCGATCTCTACATGATCCGGCTCTCTGTCTAAACCGATCTGTGATGATCCGGCACTCTGTCTAAATCGATCTCTACATGATCCGGCACTCTGTCTAAACCGATTTCTACATGATCCAGCACAATTTTTCTAACCGATCTCTACATGATCCGGCACTCTGTCTAAACCGATCTCTGTATTATCCGACACTCTGTCTTAACCGATCTCTTCATGATCCGGCAGTCTGTCTAAACCGATCTCTTCATGATCCGGCACTCTGTCTAAACCGATCTGTGTTGATCCGGCACTCTGTCTAAACCGATCTCTACATGATCCAGCACTCTGTCTTAACCGATCTCTACATGATGCGGCACTCTGTCTAAACCGATCTCTACATGATCCGGCACTCTGTCTTAACCGATCTCTTCATGATCCGGCACTCTGTCTAAACCGATCTCTACATGATCCAGCACTCTGTCTTAATCGATCTGTGTATTATCCGGCAGTCTGTCTAAACCGATCTCTACATGATCCGACACTCTGTCTAAACCGATCTCTACATGATCCGGCACTCTGTCTAAACCGATCTCTACATGATCCGGCGCTCTATCTAAACCGGTCTCTACATGATTAATACTCCGGCACTCTATTTCAAGCGGCCGCTACACTATCCGACTCCCTTTTAACCAACCCTACATAAACAGGACCGCTTACTAATCCAGCCTTCTTTCCGTGGTCCTCATGACCCGATTTCATTATGCACTTAGAAGATAAAAAACCGTTACTCCTCTCTCAAGGTCGGAACGAGGACAAGGCTAGCTTCCCACAACTTGCAGGTTGTTTGGCCGGCAATTAATCACGGCAATTAAATCTGTGACATCAACCATGTGTACTCCTCTGGCGGCAGAAACAAAACACCACGCATATGGTAGAAGGATATAACTCTAACTAGATGATAAGAAGATGTTGCTTGTAATGAATAATTGTTTTGGTTTTGTTGCCAACCTGTTATAGTACCTACTCCCAGACATGAACAAGGTGAGGTGTGATGGGGTTTAACGTCGCGTTCAAGATTATTGCACTTATATAGAGACGTGCATGTACGTGTTTGTGTGGCTGCTTGTACTAGTCCGGACTGATGCCGATTTATAGTGCTAGCTCACTGAGATACCATGCCGCAGTTTAATATGAATACCCCACTCAGACACAGTATACTGACATCGAGCCGACCAGTCCTTGTTTTAGCCCCTTAATGCCGAGTGCCAGACAGGGCAACAACAAGTACCATCTTTTAACGTCTTTTGGTATGACGCGGCCGGGGATCGAACCCCGGACCTTCCGCTCTCCGGGCGGACGCTCTACCACTAGACCACGGAGGCTGTCAGACATGAACAAACTGCCTAACTGTATTTAAAAGTAATCTAAATAAAACTAAATTTTTAAAAAAGTGAAAAAAGAAAATCTCCGGCGCATTAGAGATTTGCTTCAGTTAAATGTGTCTATTCATCTATTCAGTGGCTTTCCTTTAGTATCACTTAAAAGACGAAAAGCTTGACCGATAGGTGTTGGGTGCGAATCGGCATCACTAGAAGCGCAGGTATAATCTCCAAGAGAAGTAGCAAGATAACTATGGATTAACGGTTTTGGAAATTAAATAGATCAAAATCACTAAACCGAACACATGTATATCAAGTGCGAAACCGGTTCTTATACACAGAGGTGTGTAAACGGTTAAATATATCTTCTAAAATGACTTTAACCTGCCAATGAAAATATTTCATCCATAACACATTTTCCTACCATTCCCCAAAACTCAACTTTTAAATTCTTTGTTTAGTTGTTGTTTACGCCGCACTCAGCAATAATCCATCTATATGACAGCGGTCTGTTAATAATCCAGTGATTGACATAATGAGCATCTATCTACGCAATTGAGATTTATACAACTTTATAAAATGTCACTATTATTTATGTATATTCAACAAAAGACAAGAGGTATTGTTAGAAAATAATTTATTCGTATCTTGGCTTCAACTAATGTACACACCAACTTCACTTCTGTCACTTGTCAGAGCACATCAGGGAGAGTTCACTCCCTTCATCGCCCCGTTTTTATGAACACATGTCAGTTATCCAGACACCCATTCTGTGTACACAAACCGAGGTAAACGTTTGCCAGATCACGAGGCAAATAAATTAAAATTTGGGCAAACGATTTCAAATGAGCAACCTTGACAAGGACACTCTTCAATTACAACCATGCATGCGAGCGTCTGGCATTAGCGTTGAACAGATGGACTGCCGGGGGTTAAATCAAGCATGCTCCCACATTTGCTTCGACAGAAATGAACCTCAGCACTCACACCTTGTCCTCTGTATGTCCAGGGCTCGCTTTTCGGTAAACATACCCCTGGAGCCATTCCCGTGGTTCTCACAATCTCAAATTACCCACCCTTGATTTCCATTCGCCAATTTGATTGGCTACGCTTCTCAGTCTAACGACCAATCAGAATGTGAGTGACAAACCAGCCTGTTGGGTTGCCGATTAACATCATGGCGGCCTGTCCCATTGATAACTATAGAGTTTGCGAGAAATTCGACATTGATAGAATGACCGAAAGGGCAAATGAAAGCCCTCAAAAATCTTTTTGATGGAAAGGATTTTTTTATGTCCATTAAAACTAGCGGGGGCTTTTGTTACCTCCCTTACCCATTTTCGTTTTTTCTTATCTCCACGTTTAATTGGTCGGTAAATGTTAATGAAAATCAAGGGCAGGTAATTTAAGATCGCGAAAACTGAACGGATTCAGGGATTAGCGTAGGTTTACCGAAACGAGAGCCCTTGGGGTAGAGAGAATGCTAAAATCTTTGAGCTCACTGCTTGTGCATGGTTCACACGTGAAATCGTTTGAAGGTCATGACGTAAGCGCGCATGATTACTGGCTAATTCACGTCGGATAAGCGTACACAGTGTTTGCCTTAATCTTACACTAAGCTACACCGTATATTCCGTATAAGCAATACATTTGACACAAGACAGAACACTGAAGTTGATCTGACCGCTTAGTTAGCTCGTGACCACTGCTATAATAACTACGGTAATAATTCCTACACAATATCAGAGAGTGTCGAGCAGACTAATATGTCATGGAAACGCCATAGCTGAAATACACGAAAGGAGTGAGTGAGTTTTTACTCAACAATATTTCAGTCATACCTCACCCCGAAGAAGTGGCTCAGTTCATAGACGTTCACCGCTTTTACGCACGGGTATGGGATTCGAACTCAAGACCACCGGATCTTGAACCAAGGGACGCAACTCTTACATCCCTGGTCCACCTGTGCCGATTCTTAGTCGTTTTTTACTTTTGTTTAAGGAAATAACAGTAATTACCCACACAGGTTACTACGAATAAATTTCTTCTTGTAAACAAGAATACAACTATCTCTTCAGCCTAGAAACGCTTTCTAATATGGCAGAGAGCTTAAGATTCATATGTGGCCACTGTTGACTGATTGTCTGTTATGCTCGATTGCGCATACGTTAATGTAATGTATGTATTAATTCACAAATAAATGACAAAACATCAAAACAAAGCAAACATAATTCCACCAAAATTGATTGAGCAAGATAATACAAACGTAGGTTAAACCTGATTACATCTGTATAGTAAAGTATTGCACTGTAAAACCGCCTATAACATCTTTTGTCTTAGGGATTGCAAGTGTATCAGCAATAGTAAATGTGGCATTTGTTTTAGTTCAATTTCTTTCTGTACTGTTCATGCAAGAATGGTAGAAGGAACGATTGGATGCTAGTGAACAGGCTAGTTAACATAGGATCGGACATACAGTCCATGTTTGGAGTCAAATGACTCATTTATGTTTTATGTTTTACAGTGCAGGGTTAAGGCTTTAGTTCACACTCAAAATACAACTTAAAACCGCGTAACACTTTCTTTTTAGAATGCAAACAAAATAATATAAATAAATGAAATTTCCAAGCATGACAGATGCACAATAATCAAACAACACATCACCATTCATACCGAGAACAAATTGTACAGAAAAGTGAAAGTAGAATTCATGTCATGTGACCAAAGGCACTGGCATAAGGCAATACAAGGCACCGTGCAAAATGTTGATTAGTTTAAGAAATCCCGGGAATATAAATTAAGGTGAAATCCTTAATGCTATGCATTATAAACTGGTCATTTAGATCATCTCGTGATTGGAATATATATGACATAAATGCAGCATAAATGACGTTGTTATAGCGTCATTAGACTGAAAGTGAGCCAATCAAAGTAAAGTAAACCATAAACCATAAATTCGGCGGTTCCATTATGATTAAAGTGTGTCTTTAAATCTCCTCTATTTTATGATTCACTCGGATTCAGTTCGGATTATTCATCCCTGGTAAGTTTCTTGTAGTCCCTGAACACTACTACAAAGCTCAAATCTTGTGGTATATGAATCCATAAACTATTAACCTGTTTGCTGGAAGTGGGCACCAGTCCACATACTTCAGTATCTTCAAGGCACCGCATCTATATATTATGCACATCTAGTATTTGTTACACTTACAGATGTCTCAAATAGGACCACTGACAAACATTTTGGTCAAGTCACACATTGCATGTGTAGCTCCTTTTACAGTTCTGTAAACCGTGTTATTTTCTTATCGCAGGTATTCACTAAGAACAAACGGAGAGAGTTATCTCCCATGGAGACTGGTAATGAAAAGGGAAATAACTCTCGCGTTTTTTGGGTTTCCATAATGTCATATAGAAATCCCTGAGAAATGGTCATTGAGAAGCTTTTAGAACATGCGCGACAGAAGGCATGATAGAAGAGCGAAAAGAGCGAGTGACAGATGGACAGAGGGACGGGCACCAGCGTTAGGGTTGAAGTTGGCGTACAGCTTTCGGCTCCCCAGTTGTTGCACGGGGCGGTAGTTGTTGTACATGTTGTTGTTGCCGTCGTCGTTCTGTTCCCCAGCTTGCAGCGTTCGGAATACAGCCATCTATAAGAAACATGTATCCAGAAGTTAGTGTTTGTTACATCATCACGGAATTATGTTTGTGATATAAGGTCCCTCTTAATAAAAAAAGGAATTGTTTGCGTGTTGTTTAATGCCGCACTCAGTTATTTATTAATTGAGTGAGTGAGTGAGTGAGTTGGGTTTAACGCCGCTTTTAACATTATTCCAGTTATATCACGGCGTGTCAGCTTAATGTGGGAGGAAAGACCGAAGTGATGCAGGTCTCAGACGTTTACCACTTCGGTGAAACCCACGAGCACGGGTATGGTGCTGACAAACCTAGAAACATAATTGGGGCGAACCGGGATTCGAACCCACAATCATAGGTTTCTGGCGTGCCCAAGGGACGCAACTCTGCACAGCGAATCGCGGCGCCTTAGACGACTGGGCCACCCGTGCCCCCATTTATTTATTGATGATGATGATGATCATCATGTACTGGGATCGATAGAATATTTGTTATTTGTTGTTCAACGTCGTACACAGCAATTTTTCAGCTATGTGATTACGATCTGTAAATAATCGAGTCCAGACAAGACAATCCAGTGACTGATGTCATGAGCATCGATCCACGCAATTGATAATTGAAATACTATATAAATAAAAGTTCAACACTTGAACGGGTATTATTTAGCTAAAATACGTACCTAAACATTTTATCAAGGAGGGAAAGCGATCGTACCTGTGCAGCTGTGATCTTGATTGTTTGTGGGAAGACGGACCACGTGACGACCTCGTTGCAGTTGGGGGTGGTAAGGCTGCCGGAATAGCGGTAGAACTCGTCGAAGGAAGAAGGAAGAAGTTCATTCAGCATGAATGCTGTCACACTGGTAGTGGCATCTGTGAAACATAAATATTTACATGAATACCATCATCATCATGAATATCATCATCATGTATATCCCCATCATCATGAATATCCCCATCATCATGAATATCATCATCATCATGAATATCCCCATCATTATGAATATCCCATCATCATGAATATCCCCAAATCATGAATATCATCATCATGAATATCCCATCATCATGAATATCATCATTATGAATATCCCCATCATCATGAATATCCCCATCATCATGAATATCCCCATCTTCATGAATATCATCATCATGAATATCCCCATCATCATGAATATCCCCATCGTCATGAGTATCATCATCATGAATATCCCCATCATCATGAATATCATCATGAATATCCCCATCATCATGAATATCATCATCATGAATATCCCCATCATCATGAATATCATCATCATGAATATCTCCATCATCATGAATATCATCATCATGACTATCATCATCATCATGAATATCCCCATCATCATGAATATCATCATCATGAATATCTCCATCATCATGAATATCTCCATCATCATGAATATCATCATCATCATGAATATCATCATCATGACTATCATCATCATCATGAATATCATCATCATGGATATCACCATCATCATGAATATCCCCATCATCATGAATATCAGCAGCAGCAATCATTATCACGTTCATCATTGCTACCCTATATCGTCACAGGGTGGAGGAGTGGTTCCGAGTACGCTCGTCACAGCGAAGGCCCGGTTCGAATCCCAATGGTTACATTGTGTGCAGCAAATCGCGACGTGACATTACGGCGTAAACCTGTACTCACTCACGTATTATCCCCACCATCATAATGATAATAATTTCATCATCAACAATTTGTCATTTGTCATTTGGGGACAATTCGTGTCATTGTTGCTGGAGCATTGCTACAAGATGAGCCAATCGGTAGGCATAATCTGAAATATCTGTCAATACCGGGATTTGTTTGAGTGGCGGGTGCTACCTGTAGAGCAGGACATGCTTACCCTTTCGCGAACACCCAGTGTCATCACGGATTTTCAGTGATCCATTCATATAATTTCTCCCTCTATTTTGCATTTTACGCCCATTGGAATCTGGTTATTCTGCATCGCTGACGTTTTATATTACCTTTGGCAGTGACGCTTGGAAGAGCAGCAACGATCTTCTGGATGCCAGGGTGGCTGGTCTCGCCGATCTGCAATGGTTAAAATGCAAGTTAGATCCTTTCAACCACCAGTATTGAAAAGTGAGTGTGTATGGTTTTACGCCGCTTTTAGCAATATTCCAGCAATATCAGGGCGGGGGACACCAGAAATGGGCTTCACACATTGTACCCATGTGGGGAATCGAACCCGGGTCTTCGGCGTGGCGAGCGAACGCTTTAACCACCAGGCTACCCGACCGCCCCAGTATTGAAAAGGATTCATTTGCCTCTTGTCTCGTCAGCACAAAATATCGGACAATTACTATGGGATAAATTATTCGCCAGAGTCATATTTCGTGTTTGATATCAGACACTACTATAGCTGTGGACTAATCGGTTATAACGAACTGTTGGTTATTACGAACTTTAATCATTCAGAAATGATGATTAACATTTTTGTTCATGAAAGAGTCGAACTTCGGATATTACAAACTGAGGGTACTTCGCAGTTCGACACATCCGGAGCACATCTTCGTTGTGCTGTGGGTATAATCGTCCTGTTCGTAACACTCTGTCGTTTCATAGATACGTTCACGAAAGTATTCAGATGTCTCTATGGTGAAAAAAATGCAATGAGGGTAAGGCACACAAAAGAAATACTTTTTACCTCGAAGAAGAAACCCAGGACGGCAAGGCCGTCGGAGTGGCCTGCTGCATCGGAGATGCCGCTGTAGGTGGACTTGTAGTTGACGATGTGCATCTGGAAACGATGAAGTGTGAAGTCAATGAATTGAAAATCTTTGCGATACGAATCACGATGTTGATTTCACGATACGATACATATTACGAGATATTTACCCGATATTCGATACATATCGCGATATTACCCCGATGTTGGATACATATCGCGATCTTTCCCTCAATGTTCGATACATATCGCGATATTACCCCGATATCGGATACATATCGCGATCTTTACCTTAATGTTCGATAAATATCGCGATATTACCCCGATGTTCGATACCTATAGCGATATTTACCCCACGATGTACTACGGCCTTCACATTATGATGTGATACAAACCCTAATGCCGATACATGTCGGGTATTTACCGCAATTTTCGAAACACGTTGCGATATTTACCTAGCATCAAGACCTGTATTAATTTAAGGTACAGTTAAGTTATCTCACGCTTAACTACATTCCCCGACATTTTCCCAATGTTCAATACATATCGTGATACGATATGTTTCATATGTCATATTCGATAATATTATTTAATAACCACACGTCATGATGTATATGATAGTATTTATTTAAGAAACGACTTTAATGTGTTTATGGTGGTATGTACGTCAAAACTGGTGTGTATTCATTGTAAATATATTTAACAATAAGATACGCTCGCGATGAAGAAAGTCGAGTGAAGGGGATGGAGATATCAGAACAGCAAATCACCTTGTATTAAAGATAACAACAGACAACAACTACTGAAACGCGAGTTGCTGTTGTTTATATATGACGTTACCGTCACCGACTTAACGTCAGCTATTGCGGAGACGGTGGATAGCCCAGCCGTTACGGTGTTCGCTAGAAACCAACCTCCATTGGGAATCGGTTTCCACCCACGGTGTGTTCAGATCCAACTGCATCGGTTTTGCCCCAGTGAAAGTGCAGCTGGGCAGTGTTATAATCTCCGGTCAGTCCTCCCCCCGACACCTTGACCGATGCCCCTGCGATATTCAGCTGGGCTGAAGAAGAAGGGGTGAGAATAAACTGACATTTACTCTTGTTGTAACTCGGTGTTTTATACTGAAACCAATAAATATATTGCAAACATCAACGAATACTGTTCCAAATTTTTTTTTTTTTTTGTCAACGCACTTCGCTGGCCTGTTCGATGCTTACACTATCGATCACTGGTTTGTTTGACCCGGGTTGGGTACCTGGAAATGTAGGCACGTTTCTCACCTGTGTGGCCATTGTTAACAAGGTTGAGGGTCAACGCTGTTGTGGTGTCAAACTTGTCCAGGGTGAAGGGGGCTAGGGTTGACAAGGTGGCGTCGGTGGGGACGATGTTGATGGGGGACTGACTCGACAACCCGCATGTTGCACTGACGTCGGTCCAATGACTGGGGCCTGGAGAAAAAGCAGATCAATGCGTGAAGTGAGTGTGTTTCTCTTAACGCCGCTTGTATCAGTATTTCAGTTATATCATGGCGGACCGCCTCCGTGGTCTAGTGGTAGAGCGTCCGCCCGGAGAGCGGAAGGTCCGGGGTTCGATCCCCAGCCGCGTCATACCAAAAGACGTTAAAAGATGGTACTTGTTGTTACCCTGTCTGGCGCTCGGCATTAAGGGGCTAAAACAAGGACTGGTCGGCTTGGAGTCAGTATACTGTGTCTGAGTGGGGTATTCATGTTAAACTGCGGCATGGTATCTCAGTGAGCTAGCACTATAAATCGGCATCAGTCCGGACTAGTACAAGCAGCCATACAAACACACACACGTACATGCACGTCGCAATATAAGTGCAATAATCTTGGACGCGACGTTAAACCCCATTTCACCTCACCTATATCACGGCGTGAGTAAGTGTGTGAGTGGGTGGGTATGGTTTTACACCGTTTTTAGCAATATTCCAGCAATATCACGGCAGGCGACACCAGAAATGGGCTTCACACATTGTACCCATGTGGGGAATCGAACCCGGGTCTTTGGCTTGACGAGCGAACGCTTTAACCACCAGGCTACCCCACCGAGCTTATCACGGCGTGAAGCCCACAAGCACGTAACCTACGAGCACGGGATTGGTGCTTGCAACCCAAGGATCATCATCGTGACGAATGTTTTATTCGCATCCACGATCAGCGGATCCCGGAAAGGACAAGGGACGCAACTGATCATTGCGCTGGGTGGAATTCATACATTTAAAGGGTGTGCCTCATTTATGAAAAATAGCCTTTGCATCCATGATAAATTAAGTCACAAATAATACAGCGGGTTTTATAAGAAACTGGGATTCATTAATTAATAGATGACTGAATTTGAAATAATTCTGACGACCAACACTTACCGTCATCGCCGAAATAGCCCCAAGATGAGGATCCTGCAAACAAAAAGAAGTTCATAAGTTCACGGGTATTTGATCTATTTTGAAAAATTATCCATAAATACAAGAAAAAGTATACAATATAGTAACACTTAAGGTGAGTGAGTGAGTTGTGTTTAACGCCGCTTTTAACAGTATTCCAGTTATGTCACGGCGTGAAAGCCCGAAGTGATGCAGGTCTCAGACGTTTACCACTTCGGTGAAACCCACGAGCACGGGTATGGTGCTGACAAACCTAGAAACATAGTCGGGGCAAACCGGGATTCGAACCCACAATCATAGGTTTCTGGCGTGCCCAAGGGACGCAACAGCGAGTTGCGGCGCCTTAGGCGACTGGGCCACCCGTGCCCTCTAACAATTAAGGACGTTTGGCGGTCACCTTAGATTTTCGATTGCTAACATTTTAGGTCTTCTTCTTAGTCCAAGCAGAACCTGACATGCAAATTGCTGTGGCTGTGCCACCCTATATTTTCCGTTCTGCCCAGCCCTTACTGTAATGATAGAGCTCTAAATGAAGCAAGTCTATATTTCCCTCAGGATCAGGTCCAATGTCACTGAGGCTCCTTTTCAATTTAAAAGGGAGTAGCTGGTTTCTGACAAAAATATAAATTTCAGAGACTAAGCATAAGTCAAAGCGTTAGTTAACATTTAGACTAAAATCTAGTCTCTGAAATGAACATATCGTACATAAAAAAAACAGTTGTTCAGTTATCTTAATAAAAATATAATAAAAAGGAGCCCAGTGACTCTCTTCATTTTCAGATACTGAAGTGATCTAGACTTGCCAAACATTATAGACTTGCATGGGCTGTATTTGATATATATTTGTATCAGGGTCTGTAAGACAGACTAGTTAACATTCAACCATGCTGTCTTCGAGGGCAACCACTTGGAACACGAGTTGCCTGTTTCATGTCAAGAAATCACATCAGATCAGATGCCCTGGAGTAGTTTCTTTTGTGATAACCCCGACTGGTGGCTGTGTAGGCTGGCGCTTTGCGATATCTCCCGTTAAATATACCACCCACGAGAGAAATGTACGGAAGCCTTTTAGGGCCACTTGTTAATTTCTTGAAATTTCAAGATACAAAGTTGGAATTTCAGGATATATACTAAGTTGTAATTTCAAGATAATAATCCTAACGTTTCAAGATAATAAGTCAAAATATAAGTCAACGTATGTATGTTGAAATTTCAACTAACTTTTTGCGAAAAAAAGAAGTGGCCCTAAAAGGCTTCCGTAGATGCACACGCCTCCACCGCACTCGAGCTGTAACTGGCCCGTCTGTAACGATGCGAAGGCTGGCTTGCCATTCGCTTGTTATCAAGTCAGAGATTGACGTCATTTATATACCAAAGGATAATAACTCTCCGTTTGTATATGTGCTGCAAACAGCTTACATGCTAAAACAAGAGGTGCTCTGTTGCCATGTTGTGAGAGTTTCTCAAGTGAAATATACACCCCAAAAATGCACTAAGGGACCTACCCTTTGATATTCTGGGGGTGTAAGCAGGGATTTTATCGAAAAAAACACAAAAAAACAACAGTGTCCCATCCCTACTCATATGTGACCTCGTGTCTTTACAATAATCCCAGCGGTTTAGCGACACCACGGCACTTCGTCACGAAAACGCTGAACAAATATTAGCTCAATTAAGGAAATGGCTGATGAAAAGTATATAAAAGCATTTGCATTTTCTAGTTCGGATGACTAAATAAACTTTTCTAGTGCCGCAAATGGCTGGGTCAGGGTCACAGTTTGATATATCCCGCAAAATAAACATCAACCTACGACTCATAATATTTATTCATGCACCTGTGTTTCTCGATGACACTGTTTGTAATATTTCCTGTGTTGATTTTACTATTCAAATAGTTTGTGTGTCACATCCAAAGGAATAGTCATTGTTTAAATCAAGGAATATCAAAGACGAATATCACCCCTGCATATTGTTGTCAGTCTACCACTTCACGCTCAAACTGCACAGTACCCACAAATAGCTCTATAAACTTTTATTTATAGATGTGATTCAAGTTTAATTGGCCATTTTATCATAAATTCTTATCGCAAAGCTCCCGAGCGGAAACAGGTGTACTTGTATATTTTCTGAATATAAACACACGTCAATTATGTGCCTTGAAATTTTGGGAGTAATCAATTTCATGAAGCGTATGTAATACAATCACGTCAATTTACACTAACAAGTATCCATCTCCAAGAGATCTAAGGATGAAAATCTCTTTAACTCGTGTCAATTTCACAGGCTCTGGAGATTGCGTTCTGTCGTCACTGAAATTGGCTATATATATCGGAATGGGATTTCAAGTAGTGCAGATAATGTGATCCGACAGAATGGAGGCAAAAGAACATAGGTTTCTGGCGTTCCAAAGGGAAGCAACTCATCACAGCGAATTTCGGAGCCTTAGACGACTAGGCCCCGTGCCCCTAGATGAATATGTATTATGAGTGAGTGAGTTAGTATGGTTTTACGCCGCTTTTTAGCAATATTCCAGCAATATCACGTCGGGGGTCACCAGAAATGGGCTTCACACATTGTACCCATATCGGGAATCGAACCCGGGTCTTCGGCGTGACGAGCGAACGCTTTAACCAATAGGCTACCCGACCGCCCCTTCATAGAGTGAGAGTCAAACAGTGTGAACGTTGGAGCTTGCATTATTATTTTAGTGAATGAGTGAGTTTGTTTAACGCCGCTTTAAATCGGGGCGAAACGGTATTCGAACTCACGTTCATAAGTTTTTCTGTCGTGGCCAAGGGACGCAACACTTCACAGTGAATTGCGGTTCAATAGACGACAAGGACACAGTGCCCCTAGATGAATAAATACCGGTATTACCTTAATTATCATATTATTATGAAATAATGTCACCCTTTCGTGAAAGCCACGAGCACGGACATGGTGCTGACAAACCTAGAAACATAGTCGGGGCAAACCGGGATTCGAGCCCACGATCATGTTTGCTGGAGTGCCTATAGGACGCAACTTTGCACAGGGAATTGCGGAGCTCTTAATTCAAATGACTACCGTTTCGATCACCTATTTAAGTGAAAATCATTTCTGAAGTTTAAGTGAGTGAATGAGTGAGTTGGGTTTAACGCCGCTTTTAACAGTATTCCAGTTATATCACGGCGTGTCAGCTTAAAGTGGGAGGAAAGCCCGAAGTGATGCAGGTCTCAGACGTTTACCACTTCGGTGAAACCCACGAGCACAGGTACGGTGCTGACAAACCTAGAAACATAATCGGGGCGAACCGGGATTCGAACCCACAATCATAGGTTTCTGGCGTGCAACATATAAGGATTATATAGATTCTTATCGCCCCGGGATAAGCTGTTGACGAAGGATATAAAAACTTGATAGTTTCAAACAATAAGAAAAAGCATTATCTGCAAAGTCAACCCGCGGTCATCGCCATTGGAGCTCGAAGCAAGCCTTGCAAGACCAACCATGCATGTGACATGTGAATTCAGTATAGCCACCAAGGTCGCCTCATTTGACAATATCCAAACTTCATTGTGGGATTTAGGCTGTCATAATGGGTGTGGTAAACGAAGGTGAACCGGGCGGGCCACAATCGCACAGCAAGCCCCCAGCTGGAGAGTGTCGCGTCATTACCATAGAGCTAAGCGGGGGAAACACTTGCAATTCACTAAGTAGGTGTATTTCTCAGGCACCATAAACAAGGATATTAACTCTTTATCATTTGTAATTGAAGTGGATAGATTGTGGCGTCTTACACAGACACTTTCTCAGGTTTTTATAGAAAGCGGTGTCTTGTTTGTCCAGTTTCCTCTGGTCAAGCTTCAATGATCTCCGTGCATGTTTGAATTTGTTTGGGAAGAAATAGGACATCTTGCATGGATCACATGGCATGGAATAATGGCTAAATCATTTTCTTATAATGTATTCGAGTATGTGACATTTATTCGACTATTTGACATGCGTGGTATTATTATTATTAAATTATGGTGTTTAAAGGATGGGTGGGGTCACGGTCAGGGGAATAGCCTCCAATATTGATTGATATTGATTATATGAATATAATGACCTTTGATTTTGAAAGGTGACAATTTTCCCACGCATGTATATTTAGAATTGAAAGGTGTGAATTGAGCAACTGGACTACAATTATTCTTTTTGTCGTGTCAGGTTCACCTCTTGTGGGTTCAGTTAGACCTCATTGCTTGTTTGTTTTCTTGGGTTTATTTGTTTGTTTGATAATATATATGCAGAGGCTCCTAACAGAAGTGGTACGGGAAGCAGGATGTCTATCATATTATTTCTTGACTGCCGTGTGTTCAGCGGCGTTGGTTCACGACGGGAACACAAGACTGGTTATATATGTGTGTACACTGGGAATCGAACGCGGTTTGGATGCTTTGTTGTTTTACGCCGCACTCAGCAATATTCCAGCTACATGACGGCGGTCTGCACATAAGCGCGTCTGGACCAGACATTCCAGTGATTGAGTGATTGAGTGAGTGAGTATGGTTATACGCCGCTTTGAGCAATATTCGAGCAATATCACGGCGGGGGGCACCAGAAATGGGCTTCACACATCGTACCCATGTCGGGAATCGAACCCGGGTCTTGGGCGTGAAGAGCTAACGCTTTAACCACTAAGCTAAACGACCGCCCTTCCAGTGATTGACATCACGAGCATACATCTACGATAACATGCATCAACCAAGTCAGCGACCCTGACCACCCGATCTCGTTGTTCGCCTTTTGAATTACGACCTGCAGAGAACCAGGATGTTTATTTGCAGGGTTGGTCTTTGTGTTATATTAAGTGCAAGTATATTTTGGATTTAATTCAGATTTTTTCAAAAATACGAATAACCGGGAAGGCGGAGAACAAAATTTCAAATCTTTCTTTGGAGACGCGAGAAAGGCTTTGATCAACCATGTAAATGTCACAGGTGATTCGGCGCAGCAAAAATAATATCACCAAGGGCGTATGGAGGGTAAAC